AGATCTCACGGCCAGTGAACACGAAACAACAAACAACAAATTTAATGTATTCTAACAAAAACCACAATTTATTCAACACTATAAATAGCAAGAAAAACTCAACAAATATTCTCATCATGCAACCAAACTACAAAGGTTCACAATAAAAACTAAAACAATTCTAAAATAATTTACAGATATATCGCCAAACCATATACAAATAGAAACATTAGACTGCTTGATAACAGATTCAACAACGATACACATACGAATGCAATCAACAAAGTCATATATATACACATGTAATTCACAACAAAAGCTAGACGAGCTCACTCCCCAAAAGATTTTCTAAAGCCAGGCTTTGATACCAAATGTAACACCTCGATTTTCGAGATGTCACAGTGTGAAAACTTTCCACAAAATATTTCCATAAAATAATCCTTTAATACAATCAAACTTTATTTGTTTAACATGCGGAAGCAAAACATAATTATAAGCGTTGTTTGTTCAAAACGACAATATCAAATAATCTCTTTTACAATAAAATACCAAGTCTGAAAACTTTTAAATAGAACAAATGATCATTCATGAAATAAAGATCCCAACTCTCACGTCAGCTACTTCGATCCAGGCTTATCTGCAAAGTCATCTACTCCCCTACAAGTACGATCATCGTAGGTGGAAACCACAACCACAACATTTCAGGATGAGCAACCAGAAATATCATAACATACAATATGCAATAACCATTTAAACACATAGTAACTAAATCGTAAACATATATCATTACAACATTAACATTCCAACTTTATCATCGTAACACTATCGTCACAACATTATCATCGCAACATAAACCAATGTTGTTTCCTTCTACACTACCACACCACCTAATCATCATAACCAGTTCATTACGAATCACCCAACCTCCTCTCCCCGTATCACACAACCAACGAGAACCTCTTTTTCCGCATCACACGGCCAAAAGAGTCATCACTACCAAACCATCCTCTTCCCGCATCACACGGCCGAAGAGAATCTCTTTCGCGCATCACATGGCCGAAGAAAATCTCTTTCTCGCATCACACGGCCAAAAGAGTCGTCCACGCTTGAATCCCTCCTCTTTTACTTAACCTCAAAATTCGCTTACAACCCTTCATGGTTTCCTCCCTCTTTTTCCCACTCGCGATATCCCAATTTATATTACACATATAATCTTCATCTCTCACGAGCTTAACCTCTGCATGCCACTGACAACCATTGCACACACCAACATAAAGTTCTTACACATCTATATTTAATATATAATATGCCAACATCACATCCCAAACCCACAATAACTCTTCCACACTCTAACTTTATCCTCTATTACAGAACCCTTTCTACCTTTTTTCTACTTCTTTTCTCTCCCATAATACATAAAGCTACCCTTACCAAGATCTCACGGCCAGTGAACACGAAACAATAAACAACAATATATATATATATATATATATATATATATATATATATAGACACACACACACAACATGCATTGATGAAACCATACACCACAAAACCAGACAATCGTAGTTACTCCCCTTACCCTACACACAAGATAGTTATAGTCACTCCCCCTACCTGGACTCCAAAGGTTTGTTAATGGCTTGTAACTCCTTCCCAGTCTAAGAAGATCTTCCTCTCTTCATTGGTGCACTCTTCTCGCTCTACGGTTTTATAGAAATTCACTAGGGTTTGTGCTTCTCTCTCCTACGGTTGTCTTAGAATGCGTTACAAATCCTCTCCTCTAACCCTAATATAATACTAAACCCTAATTCTCCTAAAGGCTCCAAACCCCTTTTCTTATTTCTTCCCCTTAAATTTGTTACTATCCTCAAACATCTTCTATCACGTGAAAGGAGGCCAAAAATTCATGTTTTTATTTTTCTCTCTCTCAAAAACCATTTTTTTCTCACATAACCATAAATAACTATTTAATATTATAAATATAGAATTAAAAAATAAATATATTTTTATTTTATCCAGATCTTACATAATTGAATAGTAAAAATATCTATAATAATTATATTGTAACATTTCATTACCAAATTTACTATTATTAATATTATTTCTTTTTGTTAAGACAAATATCGTCTAGAGAATAAACTGTCTAATGAAAGTTTGGATAGAAGATGTTGTTGATGAAAAGTGCAAAAAAGATAACGTAAGAAGAGTGGCAATGAGAAAAAGAAAGAAAAGTTATGTGTTTTTATATCGTTTGACACTAATATCTTTTGAGAGAAAAATATTATTATAGAGATAAACCTTTCAAATTGTATTTAATCTGAACATATATCCTCTTGTTGAGAATTATTCGTCTGTACCATTTTTTGATTTGTTTTAAGTTCTAGAGAGAACTCTAATACTTGGTTGTTCAACGTAAGTTGAGTTGAACGTTTAGATAGTTGTCTATGGTTAAATATTAGAGAAGCTAAACTTGGTCTAGTTGTGCTGACTAGGAAACTAGGAGTGGTACTAATACTCATTGTAACTAAGAATGGTGAGAATACTCAATGAGATCCTAAAGAGGAAAAACTCGTATAATCTTGGAAAAGATCAATGGAACCCCTTGAGAATTCTTAAGAGAGAACTTAACGTAGTTCAGGTTGAGTGATCCAATATAAAATTTGCAGTTTATGATCTTACTATTAAAAAGTTTTTCATTTACTTTATCACAAAAACTAACATTTAACATCTCACAATCTTTACACATATACATATTTTCTTTATAAGTTATTAAAGGTTACTTTGCATAAATATTTGAAAAGTTGTATCATATCATTCATCTTTTGTTAAAATCTTTAAAGACTTCCTAGTCTTAGTGAAACATCATCGTCTCAGAGTATTCTTGTTTGCTAATCTCTCAAACACTCACCAGACACTGTAAAATCCAGGAAAATAGGAGTCTTAGGAATAAGGTAGTCTTGTGACTTCAGTGTTTTTGTTTGGAAATTAGTGTTATTGAGTGTACACCTTTGTTATAACATAATTGCTATGTTATTTTATTTATATTTTGACTTAGGGGCAAAAAGGGTCTTTTACCTTTTATTAATTAGGTGTAAGAAATTAAAATAGAGGGTGTAGAAAGGAAAAACATGCAGGGAATTTAATAAAAATATATTATATAAATCTTTTTGAAGATTTAGTTGTTCTTATTTTGAAAAGTAGTTGAAAAAAAATGAGATATAATCTTGAGATTAAAAGAGATATTATTATTAGAAAAGAATATTATTAGATATGGTTACATATTCTTAAAGATCTTATTGAATATTGTTATATAGTTAATTAAAAGATATATTGAGATATTATTATATATAATTAGATACTATGATTAGATAATAATAATATATATTATTGATATACTTATCATAATTAATTAGAATAAAAATATTAAGATATAATATATTATCTATGGACTTATCAAGATTAATTAAGTTAAAGATAAATTTATTTTATTTTATTTATATTTTTTATTTTAGTTGGTTGTTATTAGTACTTATGTATATTCCACAAGTACATGTAATTATATTAGATACTTTTTATGAAAACACTTGCTATTAGAAAAATAAGATAAAAGTGAGAGAAGGGTGAAAGTTATAAAGAAAAGAAGTTTAGAGACATAATATGATATGATTTTAAATAATGAATGTCATTTATTAAAATTCTATTTATACCTTAAATTTTTATTATTAAAATAATTAAATTTTATTATTTTAAATATATTATCTATTAAAACCACCATTTTTTATATTCTTATATTTTCTTACTAAGAAATTATTTTATTAAATACTTTATAATCTATTATTTTATTAAAATGTCCTTGTTAAAAATATAATAAAACATATTTATTAAATACTTTATAATTTAGTTTAGAGAAAAACATAATTTTTTATAATAATTTAGAGACTAAAAATATATTTATTTTAATAAAATATATTTCTATATAATTGAAATAATTTTTAACAGTTATAAAAAATCAAAACAAAAATCAATTTAAAAATATTTATTAATAATTTTAATAAAAATAATCATTCAAGCAACTTTTTATATATATATATATATATATATATATATATATATTAATATTATTTGACTTTTATTTTATGTGCTCAAATTTAATTATATATACTTTTGTTTTGATTATATGTCATACTCTCTTATTTTATCATCTACCAAGTGTTCCTAACTAAATATTGCCAACTCATGAATATAGAAAAAATTATTACAATGGGATCATACTACCTGTTTTTGCAATTATTTTCGAGACTGAGAGACTAACCTTCTAACGTGTCTTTTTTGTTTTCGAATGCTTGGATCGTTCGGTCACCTTCAACCTCATGTTGTTGTCCGATTGATAGTGGCATGAACTGATTGGTCTCTTTCTTGATGAGGATGTACCTGCAAAAGACACTCCGAAGCTTAAGTTAGGCGTGTGGTTGAAGAGGTTTTACTCTTAAATGAAATATTCAATGAATGGTTGACACTTGTTTGAATATTTGAGAGTAGGGGAGAGTGAATAATGCGTAGGTGGAACATATTTGACTTTTGGTCCTGACTTTGTATTTATATTTTACCTCATGGATCCTGAGCTGACACAAGCCCAATAAAATATAAACAGACTTACCTAAAAATCTGGCCCGTTGTTCATAAACCACTTATCATGGATCCTTTGATTTATTTTATCATCTGCTAAACTATTGGCCCAATAACTTAAACGCTGGTCCAATTGCGGCTAATCTTTGGCCTGGTTGACTGTAGCGGATGAACCGAACGATCTTGAGTGGATGGACCGAACGGTGCTAAATGTTAAGTGTCTCCACTAAATAAGATACACTACCCATTATTAAAAATATAAAAAAAAAATTGTTAAATTTACTTACCCTAATTTAAGCTTTCTTTATACATTGTTATAAAAAAAAATTATGTTAAATTTACTTACCCTAATTTAAGCTTTCTTTATACATTGTTTCTTTCAATGAGCTCGTGACAGTGCCCGCCTACAAACAAGGGTTTGGTTTCTTCTACCTCTGCTCTCCACAAAGCCACTTCAACAGAGCTGTTCCGCTACACTCTGCGTCCTATCGCTCTGTCAGAGCTGTTCTGTTTCTCTCCGCTCTGTTCTGCGCAGCACTGCACGTCACCGCTCCGGAGCTCAGGTTTGTAATATCAGAACCTTTTAGCCAGAAACTGATCTAAAAAAAAGTTGGCTGATTTTTCTGATTTCTAGACAAGGTTTCACCTGTTTATGTAGTGACACTCAATACCTCTGATTCTTCTTTAACCATGCTACTAATAATAAATAAATTCGTAAACATCAAATTTAGAGGTGCCCAAGGCCAGCCCTGACCTTTTTTTTTTATAGTTAGCCATTTTTTCAAAGCCCCTAGACTCTAAAACCCTATGAAATGGATTATGATTGAATCAGAACCGATAAGCCCAAACCTTTTGTATACGACCTTAGACATTTTCTTTCTGGACAAACACAAACATTTACCTACGAGCTCTACATCAACTGCAGAGGCAGCACAGAGGGAAAGGCAGACGCACGGTGGTACAGGGACAACACACAGTGGAGTCAACTGTGACGGCAGCGCACGGTGGTAGAGGTGGCGGAGAAGAATCGTGAACGAGGTTAGCATGACCTTTAGGATTTCATCTCTTTCTTAGCTTCTTCAAGCTTAAGGTGCCGATTTCAGCTTTGATGAATACTATTCAAGGTGGTTGGTGACTTATCCATTTGAACGAGCCAAGTTTTCTTAGCAAATTGAGCATTTACTGAGAACATCATTCTTAGAACTAGAAGATAGGTGGGAAGAAAATAAACATGTTTCCCAGTCTTGGCAATGTTTCATGCCAAAGAAGGAAAAAGATTGAGTGTTTGAAGAAGGGTGTTGGATTAAAAGGAAGGAAGTGTGAAGAGATATTATAATGGGTTTTATAGTGTGATTTCATTTGCTCTGTTTCTGGTCAGAAAATTTTGTAGGAAGATCTTTGGTTGAGGTATAATTGGAAAATAATCTGTAGTGAGATAGTCAGCCCTTGAATATTTGCATATATGTTGTTTTCTGTTGTCTGTAATCCGTCATTTCCATTAGTATTCATATTGAAATGACCAGTGTAGCGGTTGAACTTGTGGATTTTTGTTGTTGCTGTTATAGTTCGTTAGAAATTGTGAGAAATGGTATTTTTTGACATGTTACTATGAAGTGAGTTGATTATACCTTAGCATCTGATGGTTTTGGAAACCTAATTCTTAGGTCAAATATACTTGTGATGTTGCTTATCTCGTAATTCATATGCGTCTATGATTATCTTTCCTTGATCTCTATTTTGTTGTGGGCTAGTGGCTTGTCTTTGGAGAAATTTTGGTTGCCATATAGCATAGCTAGAGCTCTTATGTTTTCTAATATGGAATTTGTAGAACGCCTGCTTCATTTAGCTTTGTATTTGTAACAAGTTTATAGTTCTCTATGCCTTTTAATATGGAAATAACTGTGCTTTCGTTTTTTTTTGGAAATAGTGTTACTTGGTTTAGATGTTGGGTCTTGGAGCAACAATATATAGCCTAGGGTTTAGAGAATCCACAATATCAAATTGTGAGTGTTAGGATATTTATCCTATTTTATCATCATTATAGTGTGTCAAGCTATTAGACTTTAACCTTAAATACTCTTGATATTCATCCTCAGAAAACATAGAAGTGGAGGCTTCAGTTTTCGAAGTGGAAGTTTCAGTCTTCGAAATATTGGCGGTTTTGGAAGGTAAACCATGTAAGGAGTAGCAATTCTCTTGAGTATGACCCATCCTTTTACAATATGTGCATTGAGTACGTCCCCGACCTCCTCGTCCTCCTCCTCTAGTGCCACGTCCTCCTCTTCCTCGTGTGGCAACCATAACAGATGGTTCCACTAGTTCATGTGCTTCTTTAGTTTGAGATATCGGGACACGCAGAAGGCGAGTGGTCAATGTTTCCATAGAGGGGACCTCATGACTAGTTCGAAGTTGATCTCTGAGATGATCAAAATCGGGATGTAGGGCACGAAGGATCAATACCATGTAAAATTTGTCTAGTTTCTTTTTGATATCCTCTAATGGATCTACTTCCAAAAACATCCTAAGTTCTTCGACAGCAGATTGGGCTTCAGCCATGAAGGACACCATATCATGGTCTGTCATTTTAAGAGATGCAAGCTTGTTTGTAGTGTCATAGAGACGTTGAATATCGTTGGCATAAATGCTTTGGGCTTTCTTCCAAAAGGAGTGACAAGTTTTGAAAGCCCTCAAAGATACAAGAAGTTTGGGTTCCACTGATTGCCATAACAAGGCACACAACTGGAAATCTGCTTGTTTCCATTGATCAGCTTTTTCAGTAGGCACATGGCTTCCATCTTGCTCAAGGTGGTCATAATGCCCTTGGCCAAGGAACCACATTTCAACGGCAGCAGACCATGATAGATAATTTTTTCCATTTAGCTTCTCGGAGGTAATTGATGGACTTCCAGAGAAGGAAAGAGTACTGCCAGACGCCATTTCTGAAGAAGACGAATAGTACTAGCGAGGAACAAAAAAACCTTAAGGGTTTAGACAAAGGAAACTGTGACAGTGATGGACGACGGTGGCCGACAACGGCGGGCGGTGGCCGGCGGCGGTGGCCGGACGGTGGCCGACGACGGACGACGGTGGCCGACGGTTGACGGTGGCCGGCGGCGGGCAGCGGCGAGCAACGGCGGGCAGCGGCGGACAGTGGCGGGCGACGAAGACCTGTGGCACCGGACAGATATATATTACGAAACAGAAACCAGAGCGGGATCAACCCGCTCTGATAAAAGCCTCTCTGCTCCATGGGGGTTGTTTAAGGCTATTTATACCCTCCTTGATTCCACATGATAGAGCCAGTTCTGTGTTGGTTTGCCTTTTCTTCCTCCCTTTTCTCTAATGTTGCTCGATTTATAAAATGTAATAAATTGCCATCAAACTCTTAATTATTCTAGTATATGAAGGCAGCATAGCCTTCTCTGTTCTGAATGTATTAAGACTTTTACGATGAATGAAATTGATGTTAGGGAGAGTTTTTCTGAGGGTATAATTGTACTAAAACGTATTTCTTACAATTATAAATTATTTGTAACTAGGAAATTATTGCTTTCTGAGATTGGTCATGGATTGTTATTGTGCATTGGAGGAGCTAACTGGCAAAGGAGCTTACTTGCTTTTCAATTATTGTTGAGAAATTTTGATGACTGCGTGGAAGGGGAAGTTCTTGTTTTTAGTGAGGCTGTTTTTGTTTCAAATATTGAGACTTGATACCTGGTAGTGATGAACTAAAGGTTGTAAGGAGAAGAGTTGTGGATAGCTATTGCAGAGTGTCTGTTATTAGAATATTCTCCCTCCTTCACTCTATCTTTAGATGAATAATGGTTCTTAGTTGTTATGTGTGTTTTCCTTTCAATTCATATGCATTGGAAGATAGTTGATGAAATTCGTTGATGAAATTCAATATTTAATAACTGTGAGATGATATGACCCGTAGTTAGGACTGGGGACCAGAAAGCTTCATTATCTTGATATTTACATATAACCCTTATACTAAAATTTGGAGTTACCTTTTCCATGACACGGCGGTATTGGTGTATAAGGAAGTATTTTTGATAAAGGTTCCTAATTTCTTGTTTATGATCATTTACAAAATATATGCTCTTGAGGAGTTGTAGCTGCTGACTATTTCAAACTAGAACCGTATGTGTCGAGCATGTATGCTTGACTCTGTTTTATTGGGAATAGGCATCTCGATGAGCTTATTACTTCAGACTGTAAAAAAGCTCTTCCCCGGAAAAGTAATATAGTTAAATACAAGTATATGTAATTATTTTTTTAGCATTTGTAACTGATTCACTAACTGTTTACTTCATCTTCTAATATAGTTTAGTGTTATGTTTTCCAGTTGTGTATTGAGCATTTGGGATGCTCAATAATATATTTATCACATTTGGGCAGGTTAACCGTGGTCTTTCTAGACTTTGACATATTTTTTATTATCTTTTGACATGGACAGTAACTTCTGAATTCTTCAATAATTTGCATAATGATATGATTTTTTTTTCCTATTGAGATAGTTTATTAGTGTGTTTTACCTTAAACAAGTGTGATGCAAAATTGTTTCTGGATATAAAATTTGATAAAAAGGAAGACTCATGGGCTGGTCCTGACCCATTGGGCTTTGGGGTATCTAGCTTGTGGACTTTTTTTATAAAGGATTTTTTTTGGCCCTATGGACTTTTTTGGCCCCAACCCACATGGGCTAGGGCCAAATCCTATCAAATGGGCTAACTTGACAGGTCTAATCAAATTCATGCTTTCATGATGTGTGAAAAATACAAGGGCATACAAGTTCTTTTGGTAGTGTGTGTATTTTGTCCCCCTTTTACTTTCTGGTTGTCTTCACCATAAGCTTTCTCTATTCTCTACTCTTTAATTCTACTCTGATTTTTGTGTCCTCAATAAAAAACTTAGATTATTATTATTATTATCTCTTTGTTTAGTGATAAACAATTGTTGAGTGCTTTGTGTATTATTATTGCAGAATTTGGCTTAGTAAGTTGTTATGCAATTTCTTTATTGACTTCTTCATCTTCTTTCATCTTCTCAGTTCCAAACTAATTGAATATGACTCGGGGCATAAAACACCGGAAGAAAGCCAAGAACAAAAACAAGGTTAAATCTCCTTTCCTATTCAAAGCTGATTATTATTATTATTATTGTAACCTTGCTTCATTATGGTCTTTTGTGGACAACTGTCATTGTTTTTCTTTATTTTTGTTTAAATTTATGGAAAAAAATCAGGGCTCTAAGAAAGAGGGTGGGTCTTCTTCATCTTTGGCTCCACAAATTCCAGCTAAGGTGTGGCAACCCGGGGTGGATAAGTTAGAGGAAGGTGAAGAGCTTCAGTGTGACCCTTCTGCTTACAATTCTCTTCATGCTTTTCACATTGGATGGCCCTGTTTGAGGTCTTTTTCCTGGCTCTTATTTCTGTTCAGTCATTTGTGTTTTTGTTTTTCTGTTTGAATCAGTAGTGAGAAAAACTGAGCATATTTTGATAAACTAACCTGTTTTTCTTTTTCTTGTATTGTTGTTTTTGATAACAATGAAACCATAATTTGTTATGTAAAGTTCCTTTCGAGTAGACATTGCAATTCAATTGAGAATCTTGGCCAACTTTACTGGGCATTTGCTTTACTTTCTGCATATTATCGTTAATCTTTTATTTTTGGTTGTCATCAGTAAGTAATCTTCTATTTATGTTTTGGGACTTTTGACAGCTTTGATATTCTACATGACTCTCTGGGTTTGGTTCGAACAGAATTTCCACATACAGTATATTTCATGGCAGGGACTCAGGTCAATGTTGTTTCTTATATTTGTTTTTGTTTGAGGATGTTTCATTATTCAAATTGAAGATGGTTAGTATTCATGAGCAATATCACATGCGGTAGCATATATTAGGCTTTGTCGTTATGAGAGAACTTTTCCTTTAGAGGATTTTTGAGTTTTGAAAACAATTATTTTTCTTTATTATAATTGGTCATTCTTTTGAGAAGAGTTAACGTATAGCAACTAATAGTTATTTCGTCCACTAGCTTTGGTTCCTTTGTCTTTTTTCATTTTGCTTCTTTTGATTGAGACTCATGTTATGGCACTGCATGAAGCACAGGCAGAGAAACCTTCTTGGAATTCTATTGGAATTTTTAAAGTATCAAATATTTCTGGAAAGAGACGGGAACCGGTACCAAAAGTTGAAACTGATGACTCTGGAATGGATGGTGAGGATAGTGATAGTGATGATGATAGTGAGGATGAAGATGAAGGTGTTGCTCAGGGTCCCAGTTTGCAGGTACATTGCTCTTCATTTGAGTATTTATTGTTTCATTTCTTCACTGCTTTAGATTTGATTATTATGTCCTTTTCATGCTTTTGTTAACTACAGTTACGGAAGGTTGCACACCAAGGATGTATCAACCGTATTCGCTCCATGCCACAAAATCCCCATATATGTGCAGCTTGGGCTGATACAGGTTATGTACAGGTTGGACTTTTAAACCCTTTGATTTCATTTTCTAATTTGTCATAAATTTCAAGAAAACGTTTCCTTGTGTTTTTGGAATTAATGTGATTTGGCAATTTTCATTATTATGTGATAAAATGAATGAAAGTAAAACTGCTATATTATATAAAAGTGTTGTTTCATAGTCATATCAAGCCCTAGTATTTTATGGTTTTGGATGCTATTCCTAGTTACATTACACTACAAATTCTGTTTTAAGTTTTCTGAGAAGTATGGATTGGACCTTGACTAAGGAAATATTTGGTAAAATGCTAGTGGTTTCCTAAATAAGTAATTAGATTAGTTTTCTTAATTTACTCAGAAATGAATTTAGATTCTAGCTGTTCATGAATCTTATTTGGCTCTTTTAAGCTCTTCTGCAGTGTCAAAACTTTCCTTGATGTTATCGGAAGGGTTATTTTAATTTGGCAATTGTCTTCCAAATATGCAACTAAGACAAAAGGTTCATAAAGGGAATGGGCACAGTATATTATTTGATGGTTCAAGTTCTTTTTAGCTAGTTCTATTGTCCAGTTTTGTTTTAAATGCTGTTAGTTGTCCATGAGTTGACATCCAGATTTTGCTAAAGCTAGTTGAGCCATTGTATAAGTTCAGCATTTCCACAATGTTGAATTAAGCAGAATAGAGAAAAAGCTGCACAGAACCCCTAAAAGATCTGACTTAAAGAGTTGAGAGAAACTAAAATTTTTATTACTCACTTCTATAAACCCTAATGCAGCATACTACCCTTTTTTATAAGGGATAGTAGTTCAACATACAAGGAAAATAAGGAAGCTCCTAAAACCTACTAGAAATACATTACATTTCAACACCCACTTTCTTGTCTCTTTTCTCCACGTGTCTTCTTTCTTCTCCATCCTGCTTTTTCCCCATTGTTGTTTTGCCACCACCAACCGCTATGCAAAAGTGGCCACCATGGGTATTCCGCTTCACCACCACCTTGTTGTAGCCACCATAGCTGAAATTTGATACCATTGATCTTAAATTTAATTTCTATGTTCCAAGCTTGGTGCATACAATCATATGCTCAAACTTGACGAAGGAGTGTTTAATAATGACTATCTTCTGTTGTATAACATTTTTAAAGCTACTCTTGTTGTATCAATCATGTCATAGGCGGTAGCCTTTATCTTTGGTAATTAATGTGATTATATGTGATATTCTAGCTCCGTGTATAGTTTACTCGTTGGTTATTGGTTTTGAGTATTGTTTGTAAACTTTAGACTGGAAATATAAGAAAAAGAGCTTAATAGATTGATTATCTCTCAACTGACCTGTGTTATTTATAGAAGGAAATTATGCTAGGGATATCCAGGTAATTTTTGCTAATAGGTAAACAACTCTTAGGTACAACACAACAATTTTCCAATACAACTATGAATTACCTATTATAACAACTACGTATATTTAATACCTATTCTAACACTCCCCTCAAGTTGAAGCATACAAATTCTTAACACACATCTGCAAGTTGATCATTGGATCAAACAAACTTGGTACAAATTTCCTTGGATAACTTTTCTCAAATAAAATGTGAGTCAAGTGAATTTAGTCCTCTCATGGAACACTAAATTGAAAGTAATGTGGAGAGCAACTTGGTTGTTACAACAATACATCTTCATTTTTTGAATCTCACATGTTTTAAATTCTTGAAGTTGTTTCACCCATACAAGTTCACAAGTGGGAGACATCATTGCTCTATATTCAACTTGAGCACTAGATCAGGCAACACAATTTTGTTTCTTGCTTTTCAAAGAAATAATGTTTCCTCCAATGAGAACATCATAACTTCTAGTGGAGCGTCTATCCATAGCAGATCTTGTTAAATCAACATCTCAATATCCATAAATTTCGGTATATACTTTATATTTATACAATAGGCCTTGCCCTAAAGTCTTTTTGAGGTATCTTAAGATGCAGATGATAGCATTTCAATGACCAATACAAGGATTTGCATAAATTGACTAACAACACCCAGTGCAAAAGATAGATTAGGTATAGTAATAATAAGATAAATAAATTTCCTAACAAAGTCTTTTACATCTCTCTGGACCAGAGAGGTTGACCGTGGTCTGCAAGAGATTTTTGATTTGGATCCATTGGGCAACATATAACCAGTCATACATGTTTCTTCCAAGATATCTAAAGCATATTTACTTTGAGAAACTACAATGCCTTTCTTTGATTTAGCCACTTCAATGCCAAGAAAGTATGAGACTCCCAAGATCTTTAGTTCAAAAGTGATTACATAAGTGTTCCTTTAGTTGTGAGATTCTAGTGGCTTCATTTCGTGTAATAACATGTCAACAACATGCACGACCATGTAAACACATTTTCCAAAAAAGGTATGACAATAAAAAATTGAATGATTTGACTTACTATGCCCATTCCAAAAGTTTGAACAATGTGACTAGATTTTCCAAACCAAACTCGAGGAGATTGTTTGAGACCATAGAGAGACTGATGTAACTTACAAACTAAGCTAGACTTCCCCTAATCAACAAAACTAACAGGTTAGGTAAATCTCCTCTTCTAAATGACCATGAAAGAAAGCAATTTTTATATCTAATTGATGAAGAGGTCAACTGACATATTACTGCCATGGCAAAGAAGAGAGACAATTGTCATTATGGCTATGAGAGAAAACGTATCAGGAACTAAGTCCCATGTTCCATTACGTTCAAGAGCCTACATTTCATCAATCATGGCTTGTCTCCATTCAGGATGATCAAGTGCCTTTATTACATTGTTAGAAATGAAAATGGAAGATATAGAGAAGATAAAAGAGTTGTAAGTAGGATGAGGATTGCATCTAGAGTGAGTACCATTTTGAATGCTAATTGACCAACTGAAATCTTCATTATTAGGAGATGGAGTATGGAACGATGATGGTTAAGGATTTGATGAAGAGGACTCACCATGTAGCATTGAACTAGTCATTGAGTTCAATTGTTGGGAGGTGATAAGAAGAGAAGGAGATGGTCTAGGTGAATTGGGCTGATCATGCGAATTTGAATTATTTGGAGACTTGGAACAATGTTAGAGGGAGGATACTCAAAGGGCTCAACTAAAGGCACAACAAACAAGACTTGTTGGATAGAGTTAACATCTTGTATGGAGGAAGAGAAAAAGAGAGTTTCTTAAAAAAATGGCGCTTATAGGCATGTAATATCTTGTAGTGTTAGCTAAAACATTGATGCCCTTTTTGAAGACTCAAATACCCTCAAAGACACATTTAATAGTTTGGGCTGAAAGTTTATCCAAACCTGAACACACATCATGTACAAAGCAAACACAACCAAACAATTGAGGAAAAATGTGAAAGAGAGGGTTCATGTGTGTTAGGACTTGGAAAGTATATGAAAGGAGAAAGAGAGTAGAGAAATAAGGGAGAGTACCTAACTGCCGAGTAGTTAAGGGGAGCGGGAAAGGTGTCTATATAAGAGACCTCTTTTGTAGTTTCGAGTAGTTAGTTACTACATTCATTGTACAGACCGGTTGTAAACCTGGTGAGGGAGGTTAAGCTCCCGGATTCTTGATTGTATTCTTTGTTGTGAATACAATGTTTCTTTTTACTCATTCTTGGAGCTTACTGGTGAGAGAGTGTTAGGTCTCTAACTCAGATACCTAACAAAATGGTCCGACCTGTCGGATCCTTGTAGAGAGAGATCGGAGAAATGGAGGGAAGAAACGAAGGACGCCTAAAAGTGGTGGAGAACCAGCTCGAAGCGATAGAGATTGCAGTAGATGGATTGAAGGCTGAAAACGTGGCGATAAGACAAGATTCAGCGGCCATTCGCCAAGATCTTTAGGAAATCATTCGGATGTTGGGGAATCACAATCGTGACCTAGAAGGTGGATCGGATGGGAGTCAAGCATCCGTGAACGGCAACCGGAGGACGAGGCGAGAGGGTGAGAATGGAGGACGCGAGACGGATCGAACGGAGGGACAATTCAATTGGAGAAAGAAGGTGGAACTTCCCGTATTTGAAGGAGTGGATCCGCTTAACTGGATCAATCGGGTGGATCGTTTCTTCGAATTACAGGGAGTGACGGAGGAAGAGAAGGTCAGAATCACATATGTCAGCATGAAAGGGAGCGCTGGCTATTGGTATCGATTCTGGCGGGAAAAGGCGACAAACCGCACTTGGGAAGGGTTGAAATGTGCGATGATCGGAAGATTTGGGGAAAGGAACTGGAGCTCAATATTTGAAAGGCTAGTGACGAACCGTCATACTGGAACGGTTGAGGAGTACATCCGAGACTTCAAAATTTTGGTAGGGCAAACGAGCGGAGTGACGGACAAACAACTTCTAGGCTATTTCCTCGGGGGTTTACGAGATGACATGAGGAGTCAAGTCCGACCGCATGAACCGCAGGAATTGATGGTGGCGATGCGTATCACAAGGGCTGTTGAGGAGTTCCAAGGAGGCGCAAAGGGAGGGAACGGGAGCGGGATAGAAGACCAGTTGTCTTGGGGACGAACGAGCGGTGAGGTGACACGGTCCGAGGCCAATCGCTATAACCCAGGCCGATCGAGGGTTGCAGAGCGGTCGGAGGCCAAGCGTTATAGCCCAGGCCAATCGAGAGTGGCCGAGAGGTCCGAGGCCAATCACCATGGTAACAAAGTTCAACCGAATGGTATCAACAGGAGAATCTGAGCGGTAACAGGGGCCAATCACCCAGGCCGATTGGGAGCCTCTGATTAGGTGGGGTCAATATGGAACACCCTGAATTTGCCTTACTCAGAATTCCAAAAATGGAGAGAGGAGGGAAGGTGTGTCAGGTGTGGGGGACCGTTCTGTCCAGGCCATCAGTGCCCAGAAAAGAGTCTAGGGATGGTTACTTTGGGGAGGATGAAGAGGTGGAGACTGCGGGAGCTGAGACAGAATTAGACCAAAAGCAGATGGAGATGTCTGCTTTTTCGGTTGGAGGCCTCACTCAACCACAAACGATGAAGCCGCACGATTTGATAGGGGACTGAACGAGATTGATTTTGATCGACAGTGGAGCGAGCCACAATTTCATAGGCAAGAGACTGGTAGAGGAACTGGGTTTACCCATGGAGGATACCCAACCGTACCAAGTGAGCTTGGGGGATGAGCAGAGGAAGAAAACCAACACGAAACAAACGGTTGAAGGCAGAGGGAAAGAACCGAGCGGTAGAAAGGCAAGGGAAAGCGAGCCGAGCGGTAAAAGAAGTTATTTTATACGGAAGAATAGGAAACTCCTCACCTTCAAGGAAATAATGAAGACGGGAAGATGGCCCCATAAATTTTGTCTCTTATCTCGACCACCACCCAAGCCTCCAGACCTGAATTGGTGGTCAGTAGCCAATGGGTTCCCTTCATATGATAACAAGATGATGAAGAGGAGCCATGAGACCAAGTTTTTTGGTTCCAACCTTAAGGACAAGGTTGTTCTGCAGCGGAGAGTAGTTTTAGGACTTGGAAAGTATATGAAAGGAGAAAGAGAGTAGAGAAATAAGGGAGAGTACCTAATTGCTGAGTAGTTAAGGGGAGCGAGAACAATGTCTATATGAGAGACCTCTTTTGTAGTTTCAAGTAGTTAGTTACTACATTCATTGTACAGACCGGTTGTAAACCTGGTGAGGGAGGTTAAGTTCCCGGATTCTTGATTGTATTCTTTGTTCTTGGAGCTTACTGGTGAGAGAATGTTAGGTCTCAAATACCTAACAATGTGGAAACCCAAGTACAACAAGAATACATCAATAAAAGTGATAAAAATAATGAAACCCAAAGGATGAAACTCGACTTGGACCCCGGATCCCAAATATCATAATGAGTTATAGAGAAGACAAAGTTGCATCTTGATTAAATTCCTTTTGAAAAAGAAGATAAAATGTTTTCCTAATTGACATGACTCACATGCTAGGACTTGAAGTTTTTTGAGTTTGGTAATCATCCTTTTTAATTTTTATAAATGTAGATGTCCCAAGCGATCGTGTAGAAGCTTAGGAGATGGGGATGCTAAACATGACATTGACGGTCTATGCGTAGATAGTAGAGTACCCTATGTTCATGTCCTTCACTAATAAGTCGACTTGTACTGTGCTCTTGTATAATAAAAGAATTTTGCATCAAAGGTTATTGAACAATTTAAAGATTTAATTAATTGACTTAAGGAAATTAGGTTAAAAGGACAATGAGAGACATAAAGAACATTATTTATGTTCAAAGATGAAGAAAGGGAGATTTGACCAATTCCTTGAGAAGTAACTTTGGATCCACTAGCTAAATTAATAACATTAGGTATTTTAGGATGATAAATGGAAGAAAATAAGGAAGCATTACTAGAAATGTGATCAAAAGCACTTGAGCCGATTATCCATATCGATAGACTTAAACATTCCAATGTTTGAGAGATGCAAGCTTTGACAGATCAGTGAAAGGGTGTGCTTTGCTTCCTGACTTCGAACTGAGTTATTCTTGATATTATTCATTAGAAAAATGTGGTTCAACCATATTGGATTGGAAGATGTTTGTTGTCTTGCTAGGAAAAGCATTCAAGGATAAACATTTATTTTGAATGTGGCCAATTCTTTTAGAAAAGAAACATTGAGGACATTTGTATCCACTTGAGGAAAGGAAGACATTGCTAGCTACCTATATTAAATACCTATTATAACAATTTCCTATATTTCATACCTATTTTAACATTAACATAATTAAATTTCTGAAATTCTTAAATTATTATTAGCAGATATGGTTAAACATTGTGAAGTGTATTTTCTGTCTTCTCTTTTAATCAGAAAATATATGTACCGTTCCCAGCCATGCCTTCTTTTTAGTGTAGTTTGATACTTGAGAACAATTTGTAGGTCTGGGACCTAAGCTCTCATCTCAATGCTCTGGCTGAGACCGAAACAGAAGGTGTCCAAGGAGTTGCAGCAGTTTTCACTCAGGACCCATTGCATAAATTTAAACACAAAGACGAAGGTTATGCTATAGACTGGAGTCTTCTTGTTCCTGGAAGGCTTGTATCTGGTAATCTTTAGTTCTACATTTCAGTTTATCTATATTGTTTTATTTTTCCTTGGTATGTCTTCATATTTTGTGATATTTTTGTGATATTAAGCTTGACAACGATCTTCATTTTTAAGGGGATTGTGATAATAGCATTTATCTGTGGGAGCCTACATCTGCTGGAACATGGAATGTTGATAATGCTCCATTTACTGGACATACTGGTAGTGTTGAAGATCTGCAAGTACGTGTACTAATATGCATGGGAATATTTGCTCTTGTAGTTTCAGTATAATATATTTTGAATACAATCTCTCACATTAGTAGTTTGTCTTTATTTATAAATGTGATAGTTGTAATGTTCAATTAATCCCTGCAGTGGAGCCCTACAGAACCTCACGTTTTTGCTTCTTGTTCTGTGGATGGAAATATTGCTATATGGGATATCCGTTTGGGGAAGTCACCGGCTGCATCTTTTAAGGCACATAATGCTGACGTGAATGTCATATCATGGAACAGGTATTGATTAATTCGTAATTCTATGGTGTTCCATGAATTGCCATTCCAGATCTCTTCATTGCTTTGTGTGCTTTGTATTGAACAGGTTGGCTAGTTGTATGTTGGCCTCGGGAAGTGATGATGGGACTATTTCTATTCGTGATCTCAGACTGCTCAAGGTATAGGTAGTCATCACAACGATTAAAAAGATGGTAAACATGCTTCATTTATAACGGGAAGGCTACTGTGTGCGTGTGATGTTCTCTTATGTGGATGGTGTTTCATGTTATGTTATACCCAGCTTCCTTGAGTTCCAGTGTTCATATTACATCATTAATTGTAAAGCTGTCATCTGACTTTCTTTTCCCTTTTTTCGTTATCACATCCATCTTTTATCTTTCATTTTTATACCTGTAAATCCATGTGAAGGACTGAAGATGCATTATGGGGAAGAAATATTATTGTGGGAATGTGATTTAGAAAGTAACTTTCACGATGTTTAATTTGTTTCAGCTTATTGATTTACTTTTTGTTATTAAAGCTGACATGAAAAGAGCATTTATTTATGGGCAGGAAGGAGATTCTTTGGTAGCACATTTTGAATACCACAAACATCCAATCACATCCATTGAGTGGAGTCCACATGAAGCCTCTTCATTGGCTGTTTCATCTGCTGATAATCAGCTTACGTAAGTACAACTTTTGATACTATTCAGAGATTTAGTGGGAAAATATCTTCACACGTAATATTTGACACGGAACTTTATGGTATCCTTTGATCCAAATAGCTGACTGACACGACTTGGTGGTAAAGTGCTTAGTTGTTTTTTTTTTGTTTAATACATCATTTGGTCCCAACTTTTGGGGGTTTGGTTCAAAATGGTCCCACCTTTTGAAAAAGTTCAGTAAGGCCCCATATTTTGTTTAAAAATGTTCAATTCGGTCCTTTTCGTGGACGCCGTTAAAAACTTAACGGTACTGATGCCACTATGACCAAATCTGAGTGAGGTGTTATGTTGGATGATTACGTGGCACTGTGAAGTGAAGTGAGTTGATGAAAATATTTTAAAAAAATAAAATGACTTAATTTGGGTGGTAGGTTTAAGTGTGGGTTAAAGCAAAATTACCCTTATCTAAGACTGATTTAGGCATTTCTGAGTAAAACATTGTGCTGCAAGTGGATTTGGCTGGTGATTCCTTCAAAATGAAATTGGAACAGTGTTCGTGCGTGCGTGAGATAAGTGGTCCTAATCAAGGCTAATAAGTTGATGTTGTTGTATTTGGGATTAGGGTTTAATTATATTTTGTTTGATTGACGATGATTCTGCCACTGAAACTTGCTTCTCCTTCCTGCGAAAAACCAACCAGAAACAGAGAAGAAAGGGAAGACAAAGAATGATATCTCCCCCTTCCTACGAAGCCACAACAGAACCAGAAACGAAAAAGAAGAGCGCCTCCCCATAGCGAGCTTCTCTCGCGCGTGATCGAAGAACACCCTCCCAAGTTGGGTTTGTTCGAGACAAGAAAAGGATTTGGGAAAAAAGTTGTTATTAGAGTTCTTTAGGTGTGAAACAAGCATTTGGGAATTAAATTTAGGGTTCAAACCTAATGCATCCAATTAGAATTTAGAAATTAATAGAAATTGATAACTAAAAGTGATTAAAAGGAAATCCCAACCCTAATTAATTATAATTAAAAGAAATCCCCAACCCTAATTATCTGGAACCACTTGCAGCACAATGTTTTACCCAGAAATCTCCAAATCAATCTTAGATAAAGGTAATTTTGGTTTAACCCACACTTAAACCTACCACCCAAATTAAGTCATTTTATTTTTTTAAAATATTTTCACCAACTCACTTCACTTCACTTCACAGTGCCACGTAATCATCCAACATAACACCTCACTCAGATTTGGCCACAGTGGCATCAGCACCGTTATGTTTTTAACGGCGTCCACGAAAAGGATCGAATTGAACATTTTTAAACAAAATATGGGACTTTACTGAACTTTTTCAAAAGGTGGGACCATTTTGAACCAAACCCCCAAAAGTTGGGACCAAATGATGTATTAAACCTTTTTTTTTAATCTTTGGGTTTGACCCTTCGCCCAGGACCTAATCCTACCTCTTTGTTTTTGCTACTTTATTATGATGTGGGATTTAAGTTTTATAACCTTTCACACAGAATATGGGACCTTTCATTAGAAAAGGATGAAGAAGAGGAGGCTGAATTTAAAGCTAAAACCAGAGAACAAGTTAATGCTCCTGAAGATCTGCCTCCCCAACTATTGTTTATTCACCAGGTAATTCCAAATGCTCAACTCTGTTTATCTGAATGGTAGAATAAACTCCCGCATTAACTGTTCATTCGTTTATTTTTCCTTGAATTAAAACAGGGACAGAAAGACCTGAAGGAATTACATTGGCACGCACAGATTCCTGGAATGATTGTTTCTACAGCAGCAGATGGATTCAACATACTTATGCCTTCAAATATTCAGAGCACNTCAAGGAATTACATTGGCACGCACAGATTCCTGGAATGATTGTTTCTACAGCAGCAGATGGATTCAACATACTTATGCCTTCAAATATTCAGAGCACACTGTCATCAGATGGTGTTTTTTAAGACACACTCTCTTCATGTTTTCAAGCCAACCGGTTACAAGTTGGATAAGCTGTTTGCAATCACCGTGAATCTACTTGAATATTGGAGAAAGTTTCTTTGTACTCTTTTTTTGCTTTTGGTTCTTATTGTTTCTTCTTCGCCCATGCTTAAAGTTTTGTGGATTATCTGCTTCAGCTTGGTATGCTTCACTTAATTTTGATGCAATTTTTGTGTATGCTGTCTAAACTGATGCTGATAGTAAGGTTAGAATGGAAACAAACAGGCTAATTTAGCCGAATATTTGTTTATATACCCGTCTTAATTTCATCGTTATATTTGTACGGAATTTTGATAACTAGGATGCTAAATTTTAATGTGATCTTGTGTTATTCTACTGTTTTCAAGTTAATTGAAATATTAACGTTGATTGGGGCTTAATACTGGTTTTGTTAAGTTAAAATAAAGTATTTTTGATTAAAGAATAATATATTGGGTCTTGTGTATGGGCGCGCCGCAATGGGGAAGTCTAGTCTTGAGCTATTTCTTTCTAAAGCCACTGTTTTTCATATGCACTTCTAAAATTTTAAATTTTACCTTGTGGTATTAAATGATAGTGGATGGAGATTATTAGTTTTGCTGTTGTGATGTGGTTTTTCCGATGTTTTTAGTCACTCGATGGTGATATATAGTGTATATTGGCTTCAAGGATTTGTGGTGAAGTAAAGAAAGTAAAAGAAAGGGAACTTTTAAGTTTGTGATATTGATCTGCAGTTTTTCTTTAGTTTCCAATTTTTTAATTTAATTGAGATTGTACAAGTTCTCTAAGATTTTACAATTTGGAACGATATATGCAAAACATTTGAGTTCCAAATTATCTAGTTCAAAAGTCAGCATAATGTGATATATGCAAACATTTGACTTCCAAATCATCTAATTTGAAAGTCAGAATTGATTTTTGAATTGTACAATTTAAATTATATTTCGAAAGTTTAAATTGTATAATTCATAAATTAAATTTGACTTCTAAATTTTGCAACCTAAAATATAATATGTGATTCTCAATTTAGATTGTACAATCTAACTTTTGGAATATATTTTAGATAGTACAATCTAACACTATAATATGTGATTTCTCAATTTCACAATCTAAAATATATTTTAAAATTTCAAATATATTTTAAATTTTATAATCTAAAAGTTAAATATATATAATCAAAGAAGTTAAAAGTTTGTATATTTTTTTCAAACCTTTTTAAGTCATAGTCTATCATTTAATTATATCAATTTATTCAGTATTATTAGTCTAAATTGGTTAAATAATATTAACAGAGACGTTTATTAGTGTAATTACCGATATTAACCGAATATATGGTCAAATCTCGATAATTTGATTACCATCATAGATATTCTTTTATACCTATATATAAATGTGATATTTTTTCAAGGAGTACACTCACATTCTCATATTGTTACTATACTCAAATCCTAAAACTCTCTTATTAACCTAAGTATCAAAGAGTCTTTGTAAGTGGATCTTTCTCCTTTTGACAATGAGGAATTCGGTTTCAACCGTCAGGAACACTCAAGCCACCCACTTCGATCTTGCCACTTGTCTAAAGGTTCATGTTTAGATCTCGGTAAAATCATTTGGCGCCCACCATGGGATCAAGTAAAACTTTATCCTGCCTTCACATTTGATCCTATCTTGCATCCTTTGCTTTCATAACACATGTAGAAGATTCGGGTTTGGTCGACTGCAACATCATGCTCTACAACTTTCTATCTATATTTTTCACTATGAATAAAGCCACAAAGTAATATCTTTAAGAAGATGAGCCACGAGATGCAAGAGACAGAGGCACATGCATGCCGATGATGGAGCGTGGTCGTATGGCTATGATCTTTGATGATGACAACTCCAACTCCATCATCCATACCAATGCTAGATCCACAATCATCATGAGCTTCGAGAACCCTTTTCAAGTCTGTATCTATGAGGAACACGCCTAGCCCGCCATCGTCCTGCGCTTCTCCCTCAACGACGAGCAATTTGGCAACGAATAATAAGGATTAACTTGACGTTCCAACACTTGAGTACTTGAGCAAGAGCAATTCAACATTCCAACACCCGAGTTCAAAGGTAAGAGCAACTCAATATTCCAACATTCGAGTACAGGAGCAAGATCAACTTGACGTCCTAATACCTGAGTAAAAGAGCCTCTCAGTGTGAGTGTACTTGAGAGTGTAGCTCAACGTGAGAATACTTGAGTGTAGAGTAAGAGTAACTCGTTGTTCTAGAGCACAAGAGCAACTCAATGTTTCAAAACCTGAGTATAGAAAAGAATCAATGCTAACGTTATGATAATATTAGAACTTGGCGGGACATCCTTGCATCGCCAGTTCATATTAAGAAAATAGTAGTCTAACTAATGACAACCCAATGAGCTCCAAGAGATAACTTGAATATCAAACTTGGTGAGACTGTCATGTAGAATAGGCAGTGGCTAAGCAGACAACAACTCAAGGTTAAAATAGCCAGGTTCAAGAAAGAACATTCCATATTCTATACCTAGTATGGAGAAAGTCCAACAACGCTTGAAACATCAAGCAGAATGAAAGTTTGCACCCAACTGGAACAAATCTTATTGCATTACAGACTCCCTCTAGAATGAAACCTATAAGCTAGAAGAACTCAATGGAAAGCTAATTACCGAGGTCACCCTAGGACAAACCTCAAGAGGAAACAAGTACAAGGACAAACACCTATTGATAAAACACTTTAGACAACACAAAGACAAACGTCTAAGAGATAACCAAACACTTTATTCCTAAAAACTTTGTTTACTTGGGATCTTTTATCTATCCTTATTTTTTTTTGCTTCTTTATGCTAACAATGACTACAACTAGCAGTTCTACAACTACAATCAAATGCCACATAACTTTTAAAAAATAACCATATAAAAAGAAGGTTTAATGTTTCGGTAGGTCCCTATTTTTGTCCAGAATCTCAAATAGGTCCATTTCTTTTTCGGCGTCTCAATTGGGTCCTTATTTTTGTAAAATTGAATCAAATAGAGGCTTTCCATCAAATTGAGAAGACGCTGTTAAGGAGGGTATTACGCGGCATGCTGCAATGTCTTTTTAAATGATGTGGCATTAAAAACGTGTCTGAAGTGTATTTTTTTAATTTTTGAATTTAAAAATGGAGTGCAAAGAGGGGAAATAAATTTAAATAAGGGCAAAGTGGTCAAAATAATGTAAATTAAGTGCAGAAACTCCTTTCACTTTCGATTAATAATTCAAAATCAGATTGGGGCTATGAACGGGACCAGAGTTCCCTACTGCACAACTTACAAAGACTCCCCTCTGCATTGCTGCAAACGTGCCTATTGCGGTGCTATCATTGAAAAATGCAGGTGGCTCGTTTAGGCCAAGGGATATTGATATTACATCCACGCCATCCTCCTAGTTGCATCCAATGCGGCCAATACACTGCTTTTTGGGCAGTCTTCTCCAAAACATACTTTGTATATTGCCAAGTAAGCATGAGGGGGCAATCCCTGCTGCTGTACCTTTGGCATTTCCTACTACTTCTGCATTATCAACAAAAGCATCACCTGTAGTGCTCGCTGTGTGAGTCCCATGCCCATCTTCATCAATTGGTGTCACTGTTTCTTTCGTTGTCTCTTAAGCGAGGTTGAAAGACCTTGCTCCAATTAGTTTATTGTTACATGCTGTCCCATTAAGCTCACATCTCCCTTTCCATTTGGGGGGTGGTGGTGGCATTCCTGCATCACTGAATGAAGGATGATTAAGCGTGATTCCAGTTCCGAACGTCGCACATGCACCATTATTTCAAGTCGATGTTCTTCACCCATTGTTAACTCATTGGCAAGTGTACCAAATCGTATCAAGTAATATAAAATGGTAAGACCAAGTATCGTTTCCCAAGAGACTCGTGTTCCTAAACAATCGTGTAATATCTTAACTAATTAAGACTAAAGAACGATTCCAATGATTAAAATTAAATTGCAATAAGAGTAAACCTAATAACTTGAATGTAAAATTTGATCAATTGAGGCTAATCACAAGAATGAATGGATGATGTTGATAATATGAGATGATAATGTTGTTGGGGTTTATGTTTCACCGTCCTTACTTTCATGCATATAAGAATTCATCTTCTTCATTAAATTGTTAATGTCACTCTCTAAATTACTTAGAACCCGATGTCTCGACGTAAAAAACCTATCCTTAATTATTAGATCACTATGTCTTGCATCCCTAATAATAAATTCTGCATTACGAAAAGAAGCTTAAGACAACCAAAGGTTCTATCCCTATGTCTAGGCAATAGTCCCTTTGGGTGAAGTTCTCCGGATCCTGGTTCCTAGGTATTTCCCAATAACAAAGAAAGCCATACATCATCCTATGAGTGATCAAAACATAACAAGCATTGAGTAAAGGAGAAAATCACTAACAATTAATGAAAGAAGCATAAAATAATTCAAAACATATTTAAATACATGAAAGTTTAGAGGTTACATCTTCCCCAACAACAAATGAGTTTAGTTCTCCATTCTCATGGAGAACCTAGGTGTACAATGATGGAAGAATGAGATAAAAACCCTAGAAAGAGAAGAGTGTACCGAATCGTATCAAGTAATATAAAATGGTAAGACAAGGTATCGTATCCTAGAGGACTCACAACACTAAACAGTTGTGTAATTGCTTAACTAATTAGGACTTAAGAACAATTTTTGGGATTTTGAATGCAAATGCAATAAAGATAAACATGAAGCCAATTTGATCAATTGCTGCTAAACACTAGAATTTTGAATGGATGATATTTAAAATATAAGATGAATATGTTGTTGGAGTTTAGATTTCACTTAGTTTACTGTCATGCATATATAAATTCATCTTCTTCATTACTGTTAATATCACTTTCTAAATTACTTAAAACCCGATGTCTCGGCGAAGAAAGCCTATCCTTAATTACTAGATCACAATGTCTTGTATCACTATTAATTAATTCTGCATTACGATTAGAAGCTTAAGATAACTAAAACTCATATCTCTATGTTTAGGTAATACTGCTTTTGTGAGCAATTCTCCATATCTAGGTTTCCCCGTATGTGTCCATATCACGAAAACCAATGATCATGTCATGATGAGTTAAACATAACAAGCCTAGAGCAAAGAAGAATAACCCTAACAATTAATCAAAGAAGCATAAATAAATTGGAATCAATTCAAATACATAAGAGTTTAGAGGTTACATCTTCCCCAACAACAAATGAATTTAATTCTCCATTATCATGGAGAAACTAAATGAACA